CTCTCTCTGCTCTGCCCCTCTCTCTATCTCTCTCTCTCTCTCTCTCTCTCTCTCTCTCTCTCTCTGCTCTCCCTCTCTATCTATCTCTCTCTCTCTCTCTCTCTCTCTCTCTCTCTCTCTCCATATCTCTCTCTTCTCTCTTGCGGCGCGCGAACTCTCTCTCTCGCGAGCTCTATCTCGTTGCGCGCGCTCGCTCCATTCTGTCTTGCTTTCGCTCTAACTCTCTCTTCTCTCTCCATCTTGCTTGCGTTCTCTCTCTTTCTCTCTCTCTCTCTCTCTCTCTCTCTCTCTCTCTCTCTCTCTCTCTCTCTCTTCTCTGGTCTGTCTCTCACCAGCTCGCCTTCGCTTTCGCTCTCTTTGTCTGGTCTCTCTTTTTGCTTCTCTTTTGCTGTCTCTTTGCTGCGATTGCTTCCGTTTTCTTTTGTGGGTCGAATTTGCTGCGTCACGGCAGATTTATAGGTTATTGTTACGGCGCGATAGATGGAAGCGAGGTTCCGCAAGGTAGGGTGCCCCAAGTATGAAGTGTCAGCATATCGCGTGGCGTTAAATCATAATATTATAACTGGGTGGTCGGCTCATTGTGGGGTTGTTGCATGTTCATGACATTTCTTTTACACTAGTTCACGACTATTTTTTAAACTTCTAAAATGCTATAACCCCCGGTTTAATTAAAACCTCTTTTGATAGCAGCTTTACTAGTTTATTTCACCAATAAAAATTGTATATAAAAGCGATCATCGAGATCTTCTATCGCTAATACTTGGTCACGAAGTAAGCGTGTCAAAGCATTATACAAAAATGACTGAATACCTCTAGCTCTACCGTCGTCGTACTATTACACAATAAAACCCTCATTTACTTTAATTAGTTGAAAACAATAAACGTGATGTTTGCGTTAACATAACTCGATATTAGATATCTTTTTTATCTAGATATCTATCTACGATTTTATGTGATAGATTCGTCACACGTAAATACACGGAGACAGACAAACGGACGAAAGAGACGGGCACACATGCGCTTGCGCACGCGCGCGCGCACACACGTGTATGTATTCCTGTTCACGATGAATTTCAATTAATGACCGTTAATCCTCGTAAAACGCGTTAGCTTTTAATGCCGACTTAAGAAGATGCCGTAAGAACGAAATCTTTACCGCCGACTTACAGCTCCGCGAAGAATGATTAGCTGTCTTTATTTACCGTAAAATGTCAAGCCATCTTTATCAAATTTAAATTTCGCACATTTCGATATTTTGTCGCTATCACCCGTCGGTTTAATGATGAGCAAATATCACCGTGACCAAAAACCAATCTTCTCCGTTCTCTCTTGGCATAGAGAAGTTGTGCGTGCCCGTATCCACGTTAAATGCGCGCGCGTGTGTGTGCGGGTGTTTAGCTTATAAAACTCGTAGCGTAGAGCAATGTTTACCTAATGAGTGGGTGCATACACCGTCGATACTTGCAACCCGCTTAAAATTGCTCTCGCTCGCGGTCAGTGGGTGAATGGAGCAGCGGCAGCACCGGCAGCAGCGGCAGCAGCGGCAGCAGCGGCAGCAGGGAATGTCAGGGTCAATCACTTAGTAATCTCGCATAAATGACCGATAAGACGCCAGCTGTGATGGCGGAGTTATCGCTGCCCTAAATTCCTCGAACAAAGAAGAAGAAGATGAAGAAGAGGAATCGCTTCACGTTCACCTACGTGCGGAGATCAAAACCGGCGCGTGCGCATGCGCAGACGAGACCCCCGCGTCCGGCTGTCGGAAGAGAATCTGGGCCACGTGCGAAGATCGGACAAAAAGACACTGTGGGACGATTGAGGGCAATGCCGGCTGAAGTTAGTATAAAAGTGAAAGATGTGGGCAACGAGGCAGCATCCGACACATAGTGATACCTGTGAACGAACAGTGGAATTTCTCTCAATCGCCGGTAAGTGAACGTGAATCTATGCCGCGCAGGTGTGTTGCGTGATGGCGTGCAGGGAGTGATGGAAAGCTAGCGACGTACAAGTGCGCAAGAGGAGAAGCGACCGTGTGAAGGAACGAACAGAGAGGCAGATAAAAGGAGAGACCGTATAAGGAAGATAGAGAGAGAGAGAGAGAGAGAGAGAGAGAGAGAGAGAGAGAATGGAGCGAGCGCGGCGCAAGAGATAGAGCTCCGCGAGAGAGAGAGTTCGCGCGCGCAAGAGAGAGAGAGAGAGATATGGAGAGAGAGAGAGAGAGAGAGAGAGAGAGAGGAGAGATAGATAGAGAGAGAGAGAGAGAGAGAGAGAGAGAGAGAGAGAGAGAGAGAGAGAGATAGAGAGAGAGAGAGAGAGAGAGAGAGAGAGAGAGAGAGAGAGAGAGAGAGAAAGCAAACACACCGGGTAGGCCTATACATACACAGTGGGTGAGCGATCACAATGGAAATAATTGCGAAATTAGGTCGGTCGATACAAGAGCCCAACGGGCAGCAACACATGAGAAGAGGTGAATAGAATGCGTTCGCCTGTGGCGTACAGGTAGTAGGGCGGGGTAGAGTGCAATACGGTGGGGTGCCGGGTGGGTTGGTGGGGGACTTAGACCTACATGCTTAAACACGGGATAAATATAAACACAGCGAGAATTGAGCTTTCTCTTCGCGGCTCCTAAATAGGTACGCTTTTGTTTCGTCAAGGTTAGAAGATAGTAGCAATAGTGTGTATGCATGAATGAGTGCGTGCTCTCCCGACTGAGCTCAAATACGATCAATATAGAGATTCTATATACCATTTCTAACTTCGTCTATATGGATATGAACAGGTATAATATTGGTATACTGTGTGTTAATGCGTTTTCAACTTGCACTACGCAGCGAATCTTTGTGCCTCGCGTGTACGTGGTCAGTTTAGCTAGTATGAATATACCACATTTTCACTTAACACGCGAACGATAATTTTCGCTCTGATGCATGTGGAATACCTTGCGTGTGATACGACCCACTATCTTGATGACTCAATGAGGATACGCGTCACGGCCGTAGCTAACTCTATCGTATCGAGTAATTCCGAGAAGCTCCTTCAGCTTTCAACCCGATTGCAAATTATTAGGCCGGTTGAAATCGATCATTCAACATATTCGGTTAGGTTTTTGGATGGCGCCTCGGAGAGCGAATGAATGAGTAGATCTCCTAAACCGGTCGACTTAGGCCTACTATAATTTCTTCAAGCGCATGACAACTTTTTAACCATTTTACACTATCACTTTTTATTCGTCCACACACCTTTGTTATTGCGGATGTCTAAACGGATTATGGTAACTTAATTGGGGCAGAAATTGGTTTTATTTATGTCCACTATGCTTTCTCCTGCGGATCCGAAATCGTGCCTTCAGTCTTCTTCTTTTGTTAGAAATCTTATCTTGATCGGGGATATCAACGCGATAGATCAAGCTGAAGGAATAGCTCTCTCCGCGGCTAGATGGCGAGCCTTGATTACTCGCTATCTATCTCCAGGCGGCGGCGCTCCTAAGCGAGCCCCTATATACCACCACGAACACACCGTATATAGGGTCTTTGACCACACTCTGCACAGAGACTATGCTCCGATGAACGATATGCTAACTTTGATATTCCTCGGAAGGAAGTAATGACGTTAATGAACTTGAATCGCAGAATCTGCGCGTGTTAATTAGACGTGTGCGGGTTAATATCGTTCATTAGTAGCTAGAGTTATTGTAAATGAGTCACACATGTATAGTAACGGTGTGCAGCTGATCAGCGCTATGACATAACGTTGGCGACCTAGATTGCGTTCAGACTATTGCTGAATATTCAGATTTTAATCTAATAAGACAGATTATTGCATGAATCGAAAATAATTGAACGTTCGTTTCTTTCTACCCGTGAGAGAGCTTAGCTAATCATCCAGAATTGCTTTGATACGTAAATTATTTAAATGCCCACGTCTACCTAGTAAACTACTTTCGCGAGTGAATAATGTCTCTATGATACTCGATTCTTTTATTCGAGTGTCTCTCTGGTGGCCGCTCCTGAAATGCATAACGTTATAGAACAATTGCGCTTTTGTACGCGATTCCGTTGTTTTTCTCTTCAGTTTCTTTAGGAATTGGAGTTTTGGGCTTAGATTCGTCGTGGGTCTCCTCAATTCCACAACAACAAAGCCACGGCATGGTGCAGCCTAATATTGGTTTCCACTCCTTCGCTCGAACACTAATTGAGTGCGATAGGCTCTATATTAGTCTAATTGCGCATGCGCGCACCTCAAAAGTGTTAAAAACCCCGTAAGTATAACCACAGCAGTAAATACTAGGCCATAGTCATCTACACATCTCTATGCACGTGAGTAAGCGCCGTTACCGATCGGGGTGCGTGCGTGCGTGCGTGCGTGTGTGTGCTGCGCGCGCTGTGCATTATCTGAGTGCTATAGAATATAACGTTTCAACCACCGCGTCAGCACTAGTACAAAATTCAGTTTATAGACCCATAAAACCATTGTCATTTCTTTATTTACTTGTTTTATTGATTTATAGTGTAGTAATCACTAAGTTTGTGTTACATTATACCTAATGATTGGCATGTGTTACGTAATAATCAAATAATATGAAATAATTAGACAATCGAGATATGTCATCATATAGGCCTATAGACTAGATAGTTGACATACTATATACACGTGCGTGCTGATATATTCATGATAAATAATAATAATAGACACACAAACGATCTTAATCGTTGACTGTAGTTTATTTGATAGGTAGGAGGCGAGATCCAATTGTTATGTTATGTTATGTTCTCGTACTGTCGGTGTCCACTACACTGGATGAATGACAAGGTAGTAATGGTTACCGGCAAGGAGAGCCGGTACCTTACGTACCTTACCTTACCTACCACCGATAAGGTCGTAATGCCTTCAGGGATAAACCAATAAACAACAGCGTGCCATAATGATGATTGAGTGCAATGCCAACTAATGTCCTCTTAAAGTGGGCTCGCGTGTGGCATGTGGGAGTGAGCCTTGACTTAAAAATGTCAACGTCCGTTGCTTCCACAACACCCACGGGTAGGTTGTTCCAGATTAGAATCATCCGGGGAAAAAGGAGAATTTGATGCGTTGTTGTTGCAGTGCAGGTGCCGAAATTTGTGGGGTTTTCGATCTGGTACCTGAACATCCCGGATCAGATATCTATTCGCCGGTATTGCTATGAGGTGGTTTAACACCTTTACATCACTACACTCGAGTTAAAGCGTCTACGATACATAAGTTGTTGCCATCGAGTTGAGTCCTTAAGAGTGACGTACTGCTATATCGGCCATAGGTGTTTGTAAACAAATCTTGCAGATCTGTTTTGTATCATTTCTAGCTATATTTATATTTCTCTTGGTGTGGGTCCAACACTGATGAGCAGTAATCTGGCTTGGTAGTACAAGAGTTTTGTACGCTCTTTCCTTAATCGTTGATGGCTGCAGCTCAGATTTGGGCGCAGGAAGTCTACAATCTGTTGGCCTTCACACATATGTTGTCAATGTGGACGTTCCACCTGAGGCCACTGTCTAGGTGAACTCCAGATTCGGGTTGAATGTGACATACTGCATTGAAGAGTCGGTGAATGTGTAATGCACTTATGATGTTTTTATGCGCAGAAGGGTTATTCATGTGTAGCACTTGCTTGCGTTAAACTCCATCTGCCATGTCGATGTCATTGTACCACGCTTGTCAAGATCGTCTTGAAGCGCTTCCTGGTCTTGCTGGTTGCTAATCTCGGCGCTTACAGACAACATCTGCGAATAATCGAGTTTGGGAAGCAATGTTGTCTGGCAAGTCGTTAATGAAGAGGAGGAATAGGAGTGGGCCTAGTACCGTTCCTTGTGAAACTCCTGAAGTGACAGCAGTCCATCAGAGAAGTCTCCTTCTACAACTACACGCTGGGTACGCTGGGTGAGAAAGCTGCTATCAGCGTAAAAGCTTTCCACGGATACCGTAATGGTCAGCTTCTAAAGAAGGCGTTGTGTGGACCTTGTCTAAGGCTTTACTAAAGTCCAGTATTATTACATCCGTCTGCTTCCTGTTGTTAATGCTTGGTTGCAAGGTCCTGAATTCTTATCAGCAGCTTGGCTCTCACAGCATCGATTACTACGGAAGCCATGCTGGTTTTCATTTAGTAATTTTTTTCCTTCGGGTGATTTCTGACTTGGCTATTTATGATATGTTCAAATATCTTGCTAGATATTGATGTAAGCGAAACAGGACGATAGTTGCTCGGGACGCTCCTATTGCCCTTCTTAAAAACTGGTGTGATGTTAGCCATTTGTCCAATCTTTGGGAAGCTGTCCAGTATCGAGAGATTGTTGGTAGATGAATGAAAGGATGGGACAGGACAGGAACTGCATTTTATATTATTCTTGCTGGAATTTGATCTGGACAGAAGCCTTGTGTGGTTTTTATGTCTCGGAGGAGTTTCCGTACGCCCTTCTTCGTGACGGCTATGCCTGGCATGTCAGGTATGTTGGACCTTTTTTACAGGCTGCAACGTATAGTTTTCTCAGTAAAGACTGATTTGAATTGGTTATTAAGTGTGTTTGCTTTCCCCTTGGCAGTGCTATTTATCTTTCTAAGATTTCAGAGCGGTCAACCCTTAGGTATTCTTGCTTCTTACTTTTAATGTACCTCCAGACGTCTTGGAGTTGTGTCAACCGATAGAGATAGTATGTTGTACAAGTATTCATCATGTGCTCTCCTACATTCCCTTTGGGTAGGTCTTGTGTGTGTGTGTTTTGTATATTTCAAGGTCCTTGGAGTTCTCAGATTTGCTTTGAGGCGTGTGTGTCTTCGTTTCAGTTTCCGTTTTAGCGTGCTAGTCTCTTGTTGTGCAGGGTGTATTCTTATGACGTCCTTCACTATTTTGGCTTCGTATGTATTTGTTCATTGTTTTGTTCGATTTTTGCCTTTCAGC